CTAATCGAAGGGGGATTGGATACAGGTCATGTTAGGATTTAGCAGTTATGAACTCTCTTTAGAAGGCTGATGTAGTGGATCTCGGTAAAAGAAGTCTGGCACATGTTCTTTTGGTTCCATCCACATGATCACTTGGAGTTAGCAGACTCTTAGCAAGAATAAAAAATTTTTCCAACAGATTAAAGGGCACATATAACAAAAGAATGAGCACTAGAGAGCTGGGAATTTAGCTCCAGTGGCGCCACCTCACCTCACAAGCACAAGGTCCAGACTTAGATTCCTGGTACAAAAAAAAAAAAACCTACTATGGGACCTAAATTACAAGCCCTTGCTAAATGGCAAAGGGCCTAGGAGACAGTGTCCTGAACCCCTCCCATTGTAGCCACAGCCCCGACCTTTGTTCCTGCCCGGGCCTAAGAATGTGAATCACTCTTGTATTGTTTGGAGTCCGGATCTGAATCTACTTGTAAATTAGAGACTCCAGACATAGAGCCCAAGCTAATTGACAAACTGTTTGCTCATCCGGAGTGTCTTAGTGACCTTTGAGACATCCTATAGGTGGTACCTGTTACTCATCAATATGTGACTGCTGACCACCAGCTCAAGTGGGCAGACCTTTGTCCCCTGTCTGTGAGCCCAAAATGTTAACCCACTCTTTTACTCCCTATAAGAGGACCTCGGCCCCTGAGCTAGGCGCCTCTCTGAGCCAGCCACTTGGTTCTGAGAGTGCGTCTGGCCAGACTAATAAAGGTCTTTTACCATCTAGCCTGGTGTGTTCCTTCCTGGGTTTCTCGTTCTCCGTCGAGCTCCCGGAGCCTCGCTGGGTGTTAGGGCCCAGCATCGTGGAGGCCTTTTTGGGCTGTTCACACTCCGTGGAGTGGAAGTGAGACTTTAGGTCTTACACTACTAGAAATAGAAAGGTAGATTGGAGAAAAAGCCATATCCAGACACTGCTTTTAAGGGACTGAAAAAGTAATTGTAACTAGCTGGCTCTAGATAGAGAACTACTGATGGAGGTTATCTGGAACTCTGATATTTCTTTTTTTACAAGTCCATCCAGTTTTAGACGTAAGAAGGAGAGTTCAGTTGTTTTGATGGGCAACTTTAGTTAAGTAATTTAAAGACTCTTGTTGAGCTTTTATAGCTTCCACTGTAGCCTCATTCAATCATAACTGTGGTAAGCTAGAGGTGTAGCTATAAAATGCCAGCAAGGTCAGTGATTGGAGACCCCTTTCTATAGGTAGCCTTTATTATTATGACATTCTTTGTACACATCTTTTAATTGTACCTTTCTACTGGGTGTTTAAGACCAAGTTAAAGTGAGACCTGTGTTGATCAAAATAAACCTGTCACTATATGTCAGTTAAAGCTCTTCAGGGGTTACTTTTGGAACCATGTACAGAGCATCTCAGCTCCCCTGTCAGTGTCAGCCACTAAGATGGGTCACAGTCTTGCTGCACCACGGGGCTTCCCCTGGAAGCATAGGAGACACTTCTCTCTCTCCGACCCTCCTTTCTGGCACCCTGCAGATTGGTGGACTCCTGCCCTTGGGATACAATGATCCAATAATTAGTGTTACAATAACCTCCCTATTCTCCAGGTTGGGTACTCACCACAGTTGTAGGGTCCTATAGAAAAGATCCCCTCATGTTCTGGGTCCTTGTTGACATGGGAGGACCAGGGCCAAAATATTGGCTGTCGTCTTAACCAGTTATTTTTTCTACCTCTGCAAACTTTAGTTTGTTGAACACCCAGGAAAACTGTTGAAATATATAATTTGACAAGGGAACTGTTATTTTTTACCAATCATGGTCATTTTAGAAGTCAATTCCTATGGAATGCCAACAGATAAACTTTTATAGACAAGGACAACATAGCATTTTAGCATGACAACCATAGATGACATTATTATCTCTGAAACTCTTTTGTTTGTTTCTTTGTTGTTTTGTTTTTTGAGAAAGGGTCTCACTATGTAGTCCATACTGGCCTTGAACTCACTATATAGCCCAGGCTGGCTTTGAACCCATGGCAATCCTCCTGCCTTAGCCTCCTAAATGCTGGGATTACAGGTGTGCACCACCACATCCAGTTTTGAAACACATTAAAATCTCCATTTTAATATAAAATAACTTTTGAGTCCATTATCTTCAAAACATAAAGAACCTTTGCCCAAGTTTGTCATCCTTTAATAGGATAGCATCAAAGAAGAATGTACCTGTTCATAGATGCACCCCATAGGTCATTAATGTCCAACTTCTAATTTTTAGAGTGACATTGCCTGGACCCCAGAGTGCTTGGATGTTTTTAACTGTTATAACACAATTATATAATAATCTCAGAAGCCCAGACCTGAAAATGTATCTGCAACATCTGTCTGACTATCTCATATCAGGTTGGCATGTTCATATCATCACAAGTAGTTGGAACACAAGGGAATGCCAGATGCTTGAGCCTAAAAAATGTACCACCATTGACAACATTAGCTGGGAGCTATCAGAGTGAGACGTTTTGAGCTTGCTTCTTTGTAGGTCTATAATCGTGAGACACACAAAATACATAACCTAATATACCTGAATGTTAGCAATAATTAGTCTTACAACTATGTAGAAATCTTTGTACAGTGGACCCTCAAGTTATGACCAGCCTGACATACAAAACAAAATGTTATGGCCAGAATTTTAGTACTTTCTTTAATTTTAGTTTTAATCTAGGAACTAAGTCTTGACTTATGACCCAAATACCAGCCACTTGTGCTTCCAGATGGACTCAGATACAGATTTAACCCTTACAGAATTCTGGAAAGAACATTACAACATTCTTTCCCATGTGGGGTTAATTGAGAAATCCTGGGACAGTGTCTCTAAGGACACTGACATCTGCCTGTGTACAGGAGAGGGACTTTGAAGGCTGTGTAGAGGAGCCTGAGCCTTCAATTGACCCACTTGAGTTACAACCAGCCTTCACAAATGACTTGAGTTGGTAAGCACAGATTTTTTTAGTTTTTACTGTTAAGGCAAAATTTAGATTCCTTTACCAGATTTTATAGTGTAACTTTACTGACAAGAATTAGACATTTTACAGCTCTGATAAGTTTAGGAAATAGAATTAATGACCCCAAATAGACTTATTACCCAATATAAAAGTTTATTTCATTTATACAATAATAAAATGCTTGTTTAATCAAGGCTGATAGATGTCAATCAAGTGTAAATCTCAGTAACAAATTTGAAGAGATGTTAAGTTTGAGCATTTTTATGTTTAAGGTCTCAACAAATATTTTATAACAGAGAGCACTTATTTGTTACTTTCTATGTATTAAATTTACATAGGCTTAACTCTATAAACAAGTTGAAAGCTGACTCACAGCATAGCTTGTTTTACATGTATACATACATATATGCCCAAATATGTAAGCTATGTTATGAAGTAAGATAATAATTGTTTAATCAATCACAAACTGATTATTGAAAGCATTTTATAGATTAACATTCAAATACTCTTCAACTTCCTTTTTGGGAGGGGTTGAGACAGGCTCTTGCTATGTAATTCAGGCTGGCCTGGAACTCACTATGTAGTCCAGGCTGGCCTCAAATTCATGGCAGTCCTTCTGCCTCAGCCTCCCGAATGCTGGGATTACAGGTGTGCACCACTATGCCCAGCCCAAAAAATTCTTTTCTTACATGAAGCAGCTGCAGGTGAGTTAACAATTTCTTAACACATATTAAACAGACAGGTGGACAAACTCATGAACACATAAAACAGCTATTTTAAATTGGAGTGCACTCTCAGATGTATTGACCAGACTGAACTACAACAACCCTTTTTCAGTTTTTAGGTTTGTAACTATAAATAGACTTGTCAGAACTTTTCATAAAGGTCATCAATTAACAGAGATTTATTTTAATATGAATCAGAAGGGAAAAAAACCTTTTATATCTGTGAAAGCAAAGATGGTTTTTGCTTTGTTTTGTTTTTTGATATAGGGCTTCACTATGCAGTTCACTGCATAGCAAAATCTGGCCTTGAACTCGTAATGATCCCGCCTCAGGTTCCCAAGTGCTCGCATCTCAGTCATGCACCACTGTGCCTGGCAGCAAGGACTGTTTTTAAGAAAGGTCTTAGGCTGATAATTTATCTTATTGGTGTAACCAGCTAGCTATACAGGCTTCTATAGCTGAATGGGGAATGTGTTTCTCAGCATTTCAAGCCAAACTTACTGGTGGAAATGGTTTCCCCCATTCCCTCAGTATGTCCCAGAAACTTCCTGTCAAGCATCTCTGGAATTTTCTTTGTTCTGTTTTATTACTTCTATCTCCCCGCCAAGTGTAAATGAGATGTGGCTCTGTGCACTGACCTTGCTGTCTGTAATATCTGATAACCGGTGAATTTGCTGGGCCCAGATGACATGTGTTCTGTGTAACCAATGTAAAGTGCTTAACCCCTGCAAGGCTGCCCCCTCCTGAGAATATAACCTGCCCTGCCCAACCCCAAAGAGGGATCAGTCCCTTTGTGGAGAAGTCCCAGACTGACCCGCTGGCATTAACAATAAAACTGTACACTTTGCCCCTAAAACTTCTGGGTGCATCTTCCATTCTCCTGGACTACCTGTCTGTATGTTCTGGCTGGCACTTTATGGATGTGCAGTATGTGAAATTACTATGGAAATTAATGTAGGCAAGGCTTTAAATAGAAGTCAAAGCATTTTCAAATTAGAAGAATGATGGACAAAAATATGGTTGTAATTAGAGCATTGTCCTTCAAGCTATGAAGGCATTAATTGTGGGAATGGAATTTGGGTGACATTACTCCGACCTCAGCTACGGATGTTATCACGTATCAGCCCTACAGCTTCGTAGGCCATCGCTCTGGTCTTGGCTGTGGCTGTTATTGGGGAGATCATATTAACCAAGTGCTACCACAGTGCTCATGTAGTTTCAGTCAGAATTACTTCTTAAAGTAAGCCAACTGAGCAATTTAAGTTTGCAGCTTGCACTGCTTACAGCATGTTTTGGGCATAATCAATATTGCGGGCTCTGGCACCCACTTCCTGGCCTCCCAGGCCTTCTGAAATCTGGGTGGAAGCCTTCCGGACCCCACAACTCTTGAATTCTTCATGTGTCTAAAACCAACACCACATAGATGATGCCAAGGTCATCTGTCAGCTGGAGGTTTCCTTCTCTCTTGGCTCTAGGGCTCAATTGCCTGTGAACCAAATCCTGGGGAACAATTTCCCTGGGTAACTGCCATTCTGGAACATGGTGCTCTGAGACTCTTCTCAAAGAAAAGTCTTTCACTCTTGCAATTTTGAAGCTGCAAAGGGTGGTGTCCTGCTGTTTCTTATGATGCTCTCAGGCCATCTCTTCTATTTTTCTATTTTTTCTCAGCAGTGGAGTTCTCCTCTACTCTATCTTTGCAGTACACAGCTTTACTAGTGCTTCCTTTCTGGCCAAACTCACAATTTTTTAAATAATTTTGCTGGGCTTTTTAATCTTGATTCTCAACATAAATCTGGCTAAAAGTCTTTAACAGTCGCCATAGTCCTGTCTCAACATTAGACTACTGTGAATTTTTTTTTCTGTAAGATTGGTCTACTATTCTTAATCTCAGTATCAGGAAAAGTCTCTGGACATGAGCAAACTTCAGACAAACTTTCTTCCAAGGCATAACACACATCATCTGGAGCCCATAGCCAATGCAATCCTTCTTCCTAGCAGAAACATCCTGAGCATGGTGTTTACCAGCTTTCTTGTCTTCTGATGTCTGATCAGAATCTCCCATACAGTACAGCCTAAGGTGAACAGCTCTACTTTTTCAGCCAGCATTGCTAAACCTTACCTAACTAAAGCTTTTGAGTCACATGGCCAGGTAATGACACAGCAATGACTGCACTCTTGGTACTAAATTGTGTGTTAGTTTCTTTCCTCTTGTTGCTGAGACAAAATACTTGACACCCAAAGTTAAAGGGGAAAGGCTATATTTAGCTCACAGTTTGTAGAAGTTTCAGTTCATATCTGGCTGGCTCCAAGGCCAAGTGGTACATGGCAGAGGGGAATCACAGAAGAGAAACAGTTCATGGCACCCACACAGTAGCAAAGGCAACAAAGGAACATTTACAGTGGTTTTTTTTTTGTGTGTGTGTGTGTGTGTGTGTGTGTGTGTGTGTGTGTGTGTGTGTGTGTTTGCCCCTTCTGGACTACTGGAATTAGGACAGTGCCAAATCAATCCATGTACTGGTTTAGTAATCATATTGCAAACAGCTAAGTTATTTAGAAAATATTATAAGACAGCTGAAAATGGCTGCGTCCTCAGCATAGAAAACAATTGAGGCACATTTACTGAAGGTTGTTAACATTAAAAAGAGAGAAATTACCATAGCCACATACTTTCCCTAGGGATAAATAGCAGTTATTATACTCGAAATATGACACCTGTTGCCTTAATTGGGAAACAAAACATCCCTAGCTAGCCCATTCATTCCAGTAAATCCACATATGCTAGTTATTGACTAGCTTCCCAATTTAATCTCCATCTAATCAACATTACCTGGCATCTATAGTTGTAATCATATTGGTTGATTTTGGTTTTGTCCTACCTTATACAGTACAGTTACATTCATTGTTGGGTGTCTTTTAAAATTTTTAATTCCTAGGTTGATGCCTGGAAATTGTGTATGGCAAGTAGCTTTATTGCAAGTATTTAAAACCCTTAGGAAATACTACTTCTCAGAGATGTCTTCCAGGTAGAGCTGGCTTTTGGGATTTGAGTCTGTTACAAGATCCTATTTCTTCAGTTTATTGGAGACAAGAAGTTGCTGCCTATTTGGCCCAGCCCCTAGTTCTTTGGCATTAGCCTATAGTACTGTTTATGATCCTTACACAATCTCAGTCTTGGCATACCAGGAAGTACCACTTATTAGAACAATTATGTCTCCTTGAGTAAAGCAGTACAATCAGCAATAACAATGACATCAAACATAGCCTAGAAAGTGACAAACTCTGATAACTATTGTAAGACTTGAATAGGCTAAAGTGACTCCATGCTAATAGGCCAGACTGTGCTTCTTCATATGCTAATTGCTACCTTGGTTAACAGCCCGCCCAGGGGCAAATGGTTTGACAAAAGGTGACCCTAGAACATTTCCTGCATAAGATAAGCAATGTGTTTGCAGTCTTGTTCTGTGAATTCCCTGACTCTTTGTTTAGAAAAACCTTATAAAAAGTACCTCAGCCCCTGAGCAGTTGCCTCTCTGAGCCACCTGGCTCCGGGAGCGCCGTCTGGCCAGACTAATAAAGGTCTTTTACCATCTAGGCTGGTGTGTTCCTTCCTGGGTTTCTCGGTTCTCTGTCGTGTTCCCGGAGCCTCGCTGGGTGTTAGGGCCCAGCATCGTGGAGGCCTTTCGGCTGTTCACGCTCCGTGGAGTGGAAGTGAGACTTTAGGTCTTACATTAGGGCTTATCCAGTATAAAATCACAGGAGTTAAAATTGTGCAAGTATTTCAAAAAAATATTCAAGGGTAAATTAAAAAAATAAAAAAGACCTCCCTGTGATGTTAAAATTTAGAAAAGGACCCCTTTCTGACCTATATAGAAAGGGCCATATGAGTCACTTATAGTTACTCCCACAGCTATCAAGGTAGCTGAAACTCAGCTACACCACTCTAGAGTAAAACAGAATTCCAGGGAATCCGACTCCAGGAGGCCAAGAGACAACGCACTCAAAGCCCTGCTCTCACCACACCGGAAGCTGGTGAGTCTACGCACGGCTGAAGAAGGAGAACTACAATCTAGATATAGACTCTTATATTGTGTCATACTGTTATGAGTTATTATACTTCTAAATTAAGAGTTTATGAGCCTACAGATGATAAAAATATGAAAACTTTTTGTGCTCTGGGAATCCTAATCCGCAATTTAGCTGTCTAAGAGATGCCTTTACAAATTGCTGTGACCCCTTAGCTAAAAATTTAAAACAATGAATCAAGGATTTGATTCTACCTAAGATCAGTGGGGATTGTAAGACTTGAATAGGCTAAAGTGACTCCATGCTAATAGGCCAGACTGTGCTTCTTCATATGCTAATTGCTACCTTGGTTAACAGCCCGCCCAGGGGCAAATGGTTTGACAAAAGGTGACCCTAGAACATTTCCTGCATAAGATAAGCAATGTGTTTGCAGTCTTGTTCTGTGAATTCCCTGACTCTTTGTTTAGAAAAACCTTATAAAAAGTACCTCAGCCCCTGAGCAGTTGCCTCTCTGAGCCACCTGGCTCCGGGAGTGCCGTCTGGCTAGACTAATAAAGGTCTCTTTTACCATCTAGCCTGGTGTGTTCCTTCCTGGGTTTCTCGGTTCTCTGTCGTGTTCCCGGAGCCTCGCTGGGTGTTAGGGCCCAGCATCGTGGAGGCCTTTCGGCTGTTCACGCTCCGTGGAGTGGAAGTGAGACTTTAGGTCTTACATTAGGGCTTATCCAGTATAAAATCACAGGAGTTAAAATTGTGCAAGTATTTCAAAAAAATATTCAAGGGTAAATTAAAAAAATAAAAAAGACCTCCCTGTGATGTTAAAATTTAGAAAAGGACCCCTTTCTGACCTATATAGAAAGGGCCATATGAGTCACTTATAGTTACTCCCACAGCTATCAAGGTAGCTGAAACTCAGCTACACCACTCTAGAGTAAAACAGAATTCCAGGGAATCCGACTCTAGGAGGCCAAGAGACAACGCACTCAAAGCCCTGCTCTCACCACACCGGAAGCTGGTGAGTCTACGCACGGCTGAAGAAGGAGAACTACAATCTAGATATAGACTCTTATATTGTGTCATACTGTTATGAGTTATTATACTTCTAAATTAAGAGTTTATGAGCCTACAGATGATAAAAATATGAAAACTTTTTGTGCTCTGGGAATCCTAATCCCCAACTTAGCTGTCTAAGAGATGCCTTTACAAATTGCTGTGACCCCTTAGCTAAAAATTTAAAACAATGAATCAAGGATTTGATTCTACCTAAGATCAGTGGGGATTGTAAGACTTGAATAGGCTAAAGTGACTCCATGCTAATAGGCCAGACTGTGCTTCTTCATATGCTAATTGCTACCTTGGTTAACAGCCCGCCCAGGGGCAAATGGTTTGACAAAAGGTGACCCTAGAACATTTCCTGCATAAGATAAGCAATGTGTTTGCAGTCTTGTTCTGTGAATTCCCTGACTCTTTGTTTAGAAAAACCTTATAAAAAGTACCTCAGCCCCTGAGCAGTTGCCTCTCTGAGCCACCTGGCTCCGGGAGCGCCATCTGGCCAGACTAATAAAGGTCTTTTACCATCTAGGCTGGTGTGTTCCTTCCTGGGTTTCTCGGTTCTCTGTCGTGTTCCCGGAGCCTCGCTGGGTGTTAGGGCCCAGCATCGTGGAGGCCTTTCGGCTGTTCACGCTCCGTGGAGTGGAAGTGAGACTTTAGGTCTTACACTATTAATTTGCCTCCTTTAACAAATGAACTAGATATGCAGTTATACAACAAAATGTAAAGCAACCCAGAAAATTGTACATAGCAAACATGCTCTCAATATGGTGATGTTACTCTCAGAGAACATTTAAAGGGGGCTGGGGGTAGGGATAGAGAAATAGAAGAAGAGGAAGAGATTAGAAGCAAAGCTGGAATAATGGCATTGTCTTGATGCAGGAGACCTCTGGGTGACCTGTTAATTTGCCTCCTTTAACAAATGAACTAGATATGCAGTTATACAACAAAATGTAAAGCAACCCAGAAAATTGTACATAGCAAACATGCTCTCAATATGGTGATGTTACTCTCAGAGAACATTTAAAGGGGGCTGGGGGTAGGGATAGAGAAATAGAAGAAGAGGAAGAGATTAGAAGCAAAGCTGGAATAATGGCATTGTCTTGATGCAGGAGACCTCTGGGTGACCTGTGTGTATTCATGGAGTTGTTAGGAAGGCCTGACAGCAAGAGATCGAAGTTGATCTCCCAGACATGCACTTGCAGTGTCCCAGGTGCTCCCTGCTGCTTGTAGATAAGGAAAGAATGTCTCCCTGAGTATGTTTATTCAGATGTATGCTTGCTATAGCTTGGCTCCAGAAACAGAATTTACTGTTGCCGCATATAACCTCTGTAGTGTTTTAACTTCTATAATGACTAATGTAGCCTGTAACTAGTGACATGTAGCAGCTCACTATGTAGGATATAAAAAGAGGAACAAATAAAGATCTAGGTCTTTGCTCTTTGAAGTTCTGACCCCCTGTGCCTCATTTTGTGTCTTTCTTTTCTAAGTAAGTCCCTCTCCATTTGGGACCCCCAACACTGGAGAACAAAGGAAAATTGTGAAAACTTTGGGAAACTGGTGAAGAGGGAACGAGAGAAGGAAGAAATAAAAATAAGAATAGAACAGAACAATAAAAAAAAACTGGAAACAGTTTTCACATTTATAAAAAACAAGAACAAACAATCAAGTAAAAAGAAAAGAAATAAAAGTAAACAAAAACAAGATATGAGAAAAACAGAAAAATTTTAAAAATGTCCACTTCAGGGTGTGTCTCTAATCTCAATGGTACTCAAGTTGGGCACACAGAGCCTAGATCCATGCTGATTAAACCCAACAAGTCAGCTGTAGATTTACAGGTAGTGAATAATCCCAGCAAAGCTGCACCTTTAGTTCTGAAGCTCAGGCTGCTTTCTGGCTGTGAGGCTGTAACCCACCCTACAACACTCCTTGTGCCTCCTGCTGGCTTAAACTCAGCTCCCTGACAGCTTGAACTTGGCTTCTTGACATCCTGCCCACTTTAACTCAGTTCCATCTCATAGTGGTGGAGCCAGCCTGCAGCTACTCTTAGTTCCAAGCTTAGTTCACCCCTTTCCAAAATGACTACTTACTATACTAATCACTCTCTCCTGGGAGATATCTGAACCCAAATAACTCACCAGCCACTTCAGTCCATTTCGTCCACTGGTCCGTTTTTCACTGGTGCATTTCTCCGTAGAGGCACAGTAGTCACTATGCACCTCAACTTTTCTTACTGTTAACTTTTTTCCTGTGAAACTCATTCTTTGATTTTGGAGGACATGAACTTTGTACATCTGATATCTAGTAGGTAGGAAGTTATGCTTCTCCTATATCATTAGGACATGTCAGTAAAAGACATGAGGGGTTTATTAGATATCTTGGATGTTTTCAAACCAAGAAATGAGACACATTATGAGTCAGAGTTGGGTATATTTAAGGGAGTATGATCAGGATAGTGATTTAGGATGTGCATTACATTGTCAGGTTACAATTCAGGCTGTCTACATGTGTTTGAAGTTGAGATCTGCTGCCCAACAATAATGCTGCTTTCTGAGGTTGAGGAAGCACAATTTACAGGTGGAAAGGACATATTCAGCTTGAGTAACTTTTGTGTCTTGTGATGTTTTTTTTTGAGACACTGACACTGTAAAAGCTGGCCTTGGATTTGCTATGTAGCCCAGGCTAGCCTCAAACTTGTAGCAATTCTCCTGCTTCAACTTCCCAAGTGAAGATATTATAGGTGTGTACCTTCACACCTGGCTAACTTTTGTATCTTGAAGCTGAAGTTAAGTACCATTTTAAAATCTTAATTTATCTCTTCTCTACCTAGTTTTTATTTCTTCTATTCTACTGTTGCCAGGTTTTAGAGTACTCAAATCTCCTTCTAGAGGTGGTTTCCAGGGCTCCTTCTGTCCTGAACAAGGAATTGGCCAAACACAAAAAATAGTGAGGTTTGGCTTTTTTAAAAAGGAAATGAAACAGACTCTGCAGAGTGAGTTTGGACCAAATAAAATTAGGAAAAGCAGCATGGCCTACAGTGTGACAGTGGGCCACCATGTGAGAAAACACAGAGGCAAAAAGCCAATATGGACATCCTTTTTGTATCATCTGCCCATCAGGCTAACATCAGGTCCAGGCCATCCTATGGGAAACTGCTTGAGTTCTGGTGAGAAATCCACATAAGGGGCTTTGGGAACTATTGTGCTCATGTGTCCTGGGATTTTGTAAGGAATTCACACCTTCTTCCTCAGCTAGTCTTAGACACTATCCTAGCCTCCTGCCTCACTGTCTTAGAATTAGATATTATTTGTATTTTTGTGTCTGGCTTATTTTCCCTCGGGTACTGTCTTCTAGGTTCATTTATGTGTAGCATGTATTTGAATTTTCTTCTTTTTTAAAACTTTTTTTTTTCTTCAGTAGTAGACCTGAACCCAGGCAACCCTTTTAATTTTGAGACAGGGTCTTACTAAGTTATCCAGGCTGGGCTCAAACTTGAAGTTATTCTGCCTCAGCCTCCCAAGTAACTGGTATTACTGGTGTGTGCCATGCAGTGGAAATACAAGGGCTTGAATCTCCTCCTTTTCCAAGGCTAATAACATAGTGTGCATATACAGTACATTTTGTTTATCCATTTGTTTTTGGATGCTTAAGTTTTCACCTTTTAGTAATTGTGAATAGGGCTGCTTTCATTTTGGGGGGGCATGTACCCAGAAATGGAATTGCTGTATCACATGGAAATTTTGTTTAATTTTGAGAAAATGTCATTCTGTTTTCCACAGTAGCTAGAAGTTTCAATTTCTCCATATATTCACCAATGCTTGTTTTGTTTTATAATAATCATCCTATTTGCTATGAAGTGGCATCTCATGGTGATTTTGATTTGTATCACCCTAATGATTAAGCACTGCACAATTTTGTGATTATTGGCCATTTGTGGGATTTGGATGTAAGTGGTAATTGGAAGAAGGTGTCGAATATAAGAAGGGCATGTAACAAATTCTAAAGAACTACTCAGGCTATGATGAGTAATGAGAAAATGTAGAAAAAGAAGAAGAGAAACACATCAGTTTGTCTTTTGGCAATCCAGGTAAAAGGTCAGAGTGTTCAAATTGTGATTCACAATTCATTGGTGTGTCACTGGTCAATTTAGGAGGTCCTGTGGCAGGATTTCTGCCTAGATTTGGGGACTGCAGTCAAACAGCAGTCTCCAGTTGGCCTGAGAGCAACCCACACAGGCCGACTAAAGAGGCAGAGACTCAAGGACCCCAAGGTTCCATCACAGAGTGATCCTGGGCAGGCGAGGCATCGCCGGGCCTGTTTTGTTCTACCTGGCAGGTTTCTGATGTTGCGGCCCAAAATCCACTTTAGTTTTTGATTCCATGACTGGCATTTAAAAATAAATTATAATGAAATATAAAACCAGAGCTCACCAGGCATGTTGGTATACACTTGTAATTCTAGCATGCCAGAGGCTGAGGCAGGAAGATTGTCGAAGTTCAAGGCTAGCCTGGATTACACACAGACCCTGTTCCAAAGAACAAAAAGAGAAATAACAATAAAACGCAGAGATCTTTCTATTTAGAAAAAGAAAGTAATTTGGGGAGTTTTTATGTACACATATTCAGGTATAATAGGTCTGAACTGTGACTTGTGGTCAACAATTATGGGAAATAATTATGGCCACTGCTAGTAGCAGTGGAGGCAATGAACAGTCGATGGGTTCCAGATATATTTTTATGGGTGGGTTTGACAGGATTTGCTGAGTTTATGGACTATGATACAGACAATTAATTGATTAATTATATAATTAAAAATGACTCCAAGGTAAAAGTTCTCTTGGCTGGGCACAGTGGCACATACCTGTAGTTTCGAGGACTGGGAGACCAAGGAAAGAGGATACATCCTTTGAGCCCAGGGCAACATAGCAAGACCCCATTTCAAAAATAAAAATTCTGGGCTGGAGATTTAGCTCAGTGGTTCTGCTGCCTGCCTTGCAAGCACGAGGTCCCAAGCTTGATTCCAAGTACCAAAAAAAAATTTTTTTAAAAAAATCAAAACAGAAACAGCTCCTTTGACCATCCCTCTGATTGTATTTCAGTGCAGTACACCATCTTCTCTTCCTATGAATTTACAATAATATGTTTCTGGTTTTTAAATTATAACTATTTTTTATTTGACCCATTTTAGTATTATTCATACACATCTAATGTATTTGGTTTTGAGAGTAAAACGTAATGCTTTAAAATTATTGGCTGGTGGATCTCTCTCTCTCCTCTCTCTTTCCCTCTCTCTGTTTTATTGGGGATTGAACTCAGGTCCTTCACAGTGAGGTGCATCTCCCACTTAATTTTTTTTTGCAGACAGGGTCTAGCTAAATTGCTAAATTGCCCAGGCTGGATTTGAGTGTGCAACCTTCCTGCTTCAACCTCCCAGCGTGTTTGGGATTACATACTTGGGCCACCATTGTTGGCTTGGTTGAATTTTGTGTTTAACACCACTGTAAAGGTTACTAACCACCCTGCCCAGCCAATGTGGCATCTTGGTATTCTCAGGAACTTGATTTAAAAAGCAGGCTGTGCCATGGGCTGTAGAATCATAGGGAAGGGTAGAAAGGGCTAAGAGGGCTTCAATGACTGCCTTCCATATTTCAAAGTGTGTTGACACCTGACCCAGTATTTTTGTTTTGTGAGATAGTCTTGTTTTGTGAGATAGTGTCTTATTTTGCAGTTCAGCTGGCCTTTAACTGATTATGGAGCCCAGGCTGGTTTCAAATTGTGGAGATCCCTTGTTTCAGCCTCCCAAGTGATGGGATTATAGGTATGCACCATCACACATGATTTTGACATATTATTTCTTAATCTTGACTGCATTTTAGAATCACCTGAAGTTTTTTTTTTTCCTCTCCAGTGACTAAGCACACCCTCCGATTCTATTTTCCTTGGTTTACGTTGAGGCATCAGTATGCTTTTAAAAACATTAGTAGGGGAAAGGTAATAAGGGAAAAGAAAAAAATATGAGAAAATGAAAAAATGGAAATAAAGTGTTTGTAAATGGGGAGAGGAGGAGGGGGTGAAAGGAGGGCAGGGACAAGGGGAAAAAATGAGAACCAAAACCTGTCATGTAAAGGTACAAGATCCCAATGATGAATGTAACTGTACTGTATACCTAAAATGTACCAATGAACTTAAATGAGGGGGGGGGGGAGAGAGAGAGAGGAGAGAAAAGAAACATTTGTCTTGGGCTGGGGATTTAGCTCAGTGGTTCTGCTGCCTACCTTGAAAGCGTAAGGACCCAAGTTTGATCCCTGGTACCCCCCCCAGATATATATGTGTGTGTTTTATTCATTAAATTTATTGGTACATGTTAGGTATACATTATGATTGCATTCATCATTGGGAGTTTGGAGTTTGTACCTCTAAGTGATATTTGTTCTTGTTTTTTTCCCATTTCCCTTTCCTCCCTTTCACCTCACCACCCCTCCCTATTTATAAAGGTTTACCGTTTTTCCTTTTCTGATTTTTCTTAACCTCCTTTCCTTTCCATGCCCACCCCCACCCCCAAGTTCTCCTCCTTTGAACTTTTTCTTCCTATTTCAAAATATCTGTTATATATTCTGGTCCTCTTTTACATGTTTGGTTTCTCACACGAGAGAAGCAATGTGGTATTTAAACATGTATGTGTGATTTATTTCACTTAAGAGAATGGTCTCATACCGGGGATTTAGCTTGTGGTTCCACCCCCTGCCTCTCAAGTGAAAGGTCCAGAGTTTGATCACCGGCACCAAAAAAAAAAAAAAAAAAAAAAAAAAAAGAGTATGGTCTCAAGGTCCACCCACTAAGCTATAAATGTCTCCAGTTTATCATTCCTTATGGCTGAGTAGTACTCCATTTTATATTTTTAAAATTTCTTATTGAGTCACCAGTTGATGGGCATTTGGGCTATTTCCAAGATTTAGCTATTATAAACTGTGCCACTACACATATGGGTGCACATATATTGCTGTGGTAAATGTTTTGAATTCTTAGGGAACATGTCTAGAAGGAGAATAGCTGGGTCAATGGGACCTCTAATCCTAGGTCTCTGAGGAATCTCCACACTGATTCCCACAGTGGTTGTACTAATCTGCACACCCACCAGCAGCGGAGTAGGGTTCCCTTTTCCCCACAGTGCCATTAATATTTGTTATTGGTTGATTGCATGATAGCACTCATTTTTTTCTGGGGTGAGGTGGAATCTCAGTGTTGTTTTCATTTGCATCTCT